TAATAACGACATCACTATAAGTGTTGATGTTTACTTGATTTAATCTGTATTTAAATTGTTATATAAAAATCTCATTGGGTTAATTTTGCATCTCCTTAAAGGAGTTACATAATTGAATGATGTGTAAAATTTAATCCCTAAATGTAAATTTACGTTGTTTATTCAAGAGAGTATTTTACTTTTAAGCATTTCTGGTAAGTTAAATTAAAGACATTGTGAATTTGTGCCGTTTCTATTATAAGTAAGGACTGTTTAACAAAAAAAAATATTCAGAGAGTGTATAAGATGACGGTTGCTAGGTAGTTACATACGTGGTAGTCACGCTGCAGCTGTGTTGTGTTTGGCCCGAATGTGTGTTGTGGCCCGAATGAGTTAGCTCGACGGGAAAGGACCACGCTCTTACATAGCCAATACCAGCGTAAAATACCAACTTAATGCTGCAGTGTTTCGTATGGTAAGTGCAGAGAACTGTAGACCACTTTTACTGGAAACGAAGCATTGCATCTAAGTCCTCAGCGGTGACAAGGCGTCCTCTTTTGATCTTAAAAAGAAAAATCTATGTATATATATATATATATATATATATATATTATATATATATATATATATCTATGTATCAAAGCATCCTCACCATCAGTTGGACCGTATACTTGTTTGTTACCCTTATTCTATAAAAAAGTTATTTAATATTTTTTTGCAAAGTTTGAGTCTGACTCTTTCACGCAGGTTTTATATAGATTTTTTAGAAAAAACATATAGCTGACGTGGAGCTCCACCGCTCCGGGAAGTCTGCAGATTGTGAACTTGTTGAGATCGTCCCCACCATACATCAGATTTGATGAACCCCAAATCGTTGCAAAAGAACACGGAATCGTACCAAGGATGATACTCAAGGCTATTTAAATTATAAAAACATCCTAATTTCAACAGAGAAGATGAATAGGCGCAGCTATTTGCTTGGGATCCTATAATTTACAAAATTAAATCAAAACCCAAGCATACCACTGAAAGACTTCTAGATACTGTAAGCTAATTCTGCGTAGATCAGACCAAAAACTAATATTCAAAAACTGAAGGTAGCCGGGCTAATTAAGACAGTCCGGTCTCCCCCCCCCGTCCCCGTAAACATGGGAGATGTAAGACAACCGAAATGTTGGGAAATAAAAATAAGTATATTAAACGCAATAAAATCCGTATAAATAGTTATATTCAATGGGTAGTGTTTGCGTAAATATGAGAAATCATTAATCATGAAATACATTGTATACAATTTTTTGTTCTTGTTGCAGATAATCTAGGCGAATAAAACAAAAAACGGGTTCTAATGATGAAAAATTATCATCATTCACATAAGATACTAAGATTAATAAAACCCATAAAAATATAGGAGTAAATTATTACGAAATTTTATTTTCTTGCAACCGTCTATAATTACAATGATTCACAATAGCAACCGAAGTTAAAATGGAAAATGTAGTTTTCCGAGATAAAAAAAACAGCAAAATAATATGTGTGTAATATTTCGTTTTTCAGACATCCCTTAACTTCAATACGAAGACCGAAACATCTCGCGTAACACTGCGGCATGCTGTTGCATGTCACGAAATTCTCTGGAACGTTGCGGCATGTCGTGGAATTCCATGGGAAAGGCTACTTCATGTTGTTAAAGGAGTGTGATTACTAACTAATTAAAACAAGGTTGAATCGAGCCCGTTATGGCGGCGATCTCAGTGAGCTCGGACATGGCTCCTTTTGTCACAACGCGGATTGTCACAGGATCCTTTGGCATATCGTGGGATGTCACGGGATCCTTCGGTACGACGCGAGGTGCCAAAGGATTGTTCGGCATGCCAAAGTGTGATTTGCCACGCTGTGCCACGCCATGTTATTTGAGAATGCAGGCCTTAAGTCGCTATATCCGTGATGACGATATTTCAAAAATAATACAAGATTGTACTGACTCAAAAATGAAGACATAGAAAGAAATAACCTGGAAACAGTTTGTGATAGCAGTGATAAAGCATCGATACACAGTGCGTCTTTCTGGGTTGGAAAACCAATACTCTTCCCCTGGAGAAGAGGAAGAAGCAGAAAGATCGAGGGAAATTATATAAAACTTTCAAAAAAAATATTAATTTGTAAGTATACCGAAGCCAATAAATTATTGTTTGTGCTGTGAATCCATATAAAACGAATAATTTTGAAAGTACATAACATGTTCCGTAATTTTTTTATAGTTACTAAATCTTTTTGTTTCATAATTTTTATTAGATTTTATATTTTTATTCCGACATAAAAGCAAGGAGTTTAATTAGAAGTTAATTTTTTTGTTGGTTTTTATGTCATATATTCGGTGCCTTAAAAATAAAAACTAAAAAGACGTTTCTTTATAAAAGACTTAAAGCTTACTTATAAGGCTGATTAATATAAGCACAAATTACGATTTTCATAACAAATATGTTATTTTATTGTATTATTTTTTTATTTTATTAATATGTAAGTTATTTCCTATAATTATTTACAAACATACCAATTTTTTTTTTTGGGGATAGTTCTAGACCACGCGTGACTCTATGTTACCAAAAGAAATTTTTTTTGGAATGATTCAGCTTAGGTTTCCCAAAAATCTCTAATAGTAACCAAAAGAAGTTGCGCGAGGAAGAAAACGGACGAAGGACGTACTCCATCAAGCCTTCTTGACTTGTTGACGTCTAGGGAGATTAGTGCTTTACGCACGGAGCACTGTATAAATTACACATAGGATGTGGAGCACTCTTACCGCGGGATGGTCAGCGGTGTTCTCCATCAAAGACAGTCGAGTAAAACACAAAACAGTGCCTAAAAAATCGGCTTTCTCATTTACGGCATGGGCCAGTAAGTAGTTTTCTCTGTGCAGAAACGGAGGAGATGGCTGACGGAAAATGAACTAGTTTCTAGGCAATTCTGTCGATGTGATTCGACTTCGCCCTGACTCTTTTGATTAACCTGGAGGCGGAATCATACTTATTTTCATGAGCGCTGGTATTTATTGTGAATGCTTCAGCCCTGACCTGGAACCGTTCCTACTTATAGCGTAACGCATTTTTACATGAGAGAATAAGTGAAATGCAAAGATTCTCGAAAGAAGGCAAACAAATTTATCGCCAATTCTGCTTATGTGCTCCGAATTTACACTTGTAATAACTATTTTGAAGAAACTTGGAATATATTTATTTTTAAGAGCGCTGGTCTTTACATACCGAGACGTCGATGGGTCAGTCAAGGCCCAACAAGGATAACACTCCTGAGGGAAGCAAAACTACTTCATGGATAGGTTGTATATAAAGACTGCATCTATAGAAAATAATTGTTCTTGGGCTGTATTTTTAGTCTTGTCAAACTTATGTATCATCATATTTACAAAAAAAAATCCTACTGTGAGGGTAATTTATTTGTACCTTTCTATCCTATCTTTGTTTCTTTGTTGTTTATATGACGGCAGCTTGCACTCATGATCAGACAGTGATCCAAAGATCCAAGAATAGTATCAACGAAAACCTGATAGTCTTCTGGTTGAGAGGTCAATAGAAGATTCAACAGGGACGGTGTATTTTCATCTACGTCTGGAATTCGCGTGGGTGAAATAATCAGTCGTAGAAGCCATACCATAATTATGCCAAGGCAAATTTGTAAACAGATCTGTCTACTACGTGATAAAAGATCTGTTCAGCGTGGTGAGTGTTGAAATCACTAAAAATCTTGGTCTCTGCGTAAGAGATCTATTATTGTAAGGAATCTGTAACCATTTGAACATAGTCTATGAGTCGGTCAGTGTCAGTATTACTGCCATAAGACCTAAAAAGTAAACGGAGACCCGGGGATTATCATCGCTGCCTACGCACAGAGAAATGATGGACAGAACCTATACGAAAATACCAGCCCGAGGATCATAGGAGTGTTAGCTGGACTTTACTACAATCTACGTCATAAGACTCCTGAACCTTGACGCTATTCGTGTTTGGTCAAGGCAAGTTTTTGGCAAGGTATCTTGGTAAATCCTTTGAAATGCAAAGCGATGATGAGAGTAAGGTCAAATATGTTGGCTGATATTAACTATAGAGACCTTGAACCTGTGGTTTACAATAGGATATTGATCCTTTCAATGAATTAATAGTTAATATGGCCTAGATCACACAATAAACTAGGGAATGCAAATTTTTAGAAAGTTGTTGCTGATCTGCGTTCCCTGTATCGTCTGCAAAATTTCTTATCCTAAAACTAAGCTTTTGCTGGTTAACTCCCTCATTCTTCTCTTTATTGATTATGCTGATATGTGATTTTCGGACCTATCGCAAAATCTTCTGAAGAAGTTCTAGCGCCTTCTCAATAATTGTATAAGATTTTGCGTAAATACGACTATTATTTCTGCTCATCGTTTTAAGCTTAAATTGCTCACTATAAGCCATAGACATTGCTACACAATTTTATTGACACTTTTTTCCCTTCTTAAATGATCCTAATTCTTCATCATGTCTTAAAGATAACTTAAAACTCGTCCACTCTATTTCCGACCTCGTAAACCTAACGTGAAACTTACCACTAATTGAAGGTGTGTTGTATTAAAGGATATTATATATATATATATATATATATATATATATATATATATATATATATATATATATATATATAATATCTTATAGCAGGTGGAATATGTGAAATTTACATCAGAGATGTTATTTCCTATTTGCTACTGCTACTTTGGCTTTGATTATAATCTTTTTAATGAGGCCCTGAAATTATGCTATAAATCTTTCACTTTGGACTTCGTTATAATTTTTTATGTGTGTCATAAAAAACTGCCTAGCGAACTGTGATTACGTATATATTATGCGCATGTACATTTAAAAATAATTATTCCATTTGTAAACATACGTGAATGTACTCGTAGGTTAGATTATGTTGTAATGTTATTTACCGACCTTAAATGATTTAAATTTTCTCTTTTATTTAATTTTAAAATGTTATCAACTATATTGATATTCTTATGTTTTTCAATAATATTCTGGTGGAAGAAACGTAAAGTGAGACACACTAGGCAACCACCTGTGCATCCCGGTGTTTTACCACTCATCGGTCACTTACATTTGATAATGGGTAATTATAAACGTAAGTTTTATTTTTTTAAGTTAATGTTTTAGTTTTATTATACGTGGTAGAGCCATGCTACAGTTATATTAGGAGTATAGTTGTAGCACGAATGGGTCGGCTCGACCGGGGAAGGACCACGTTCTCACAGAATACCAGCGTGAAACAGTAGCTTAGTGCTGCTGTGTTTCGTATGGTGAGTGTAGAGAACCGGAGACCCTTTTTACTGGAAACGAGGCATTCCATCTTAGCCCTCACGGGTGACAACGCATATACATTTTGATTTGTAATCGAGGATAGATGTAGATGTCTATGGGCCACAGCAACCACTTACCACCAGGTGCACTATGTGCTTGTTTGTCACACTATCCTATAAAAAAAGTATTTTACATATGTTTTTGCAGTTTATTTCAAAGAATTGTGTGTTACTAGGTATACTACCTAGCACTACCCTATTCGTGAACTGCAGTCAGCGTCGGGTGGACTGTAAATTAGTTTGTCACTTAAGTTCAGGTGCGATCCGCGTTGAGTTGTTGTTTCTACGACTTAATCGCAATACGTAATCACTACACTACTTTCCCTGTACGCATAATATGTATGTATTTTGTGCGAAATTATTCTCAAACAATTGATGTGTAGAGAGTCCACTCCTTCGCCGTATATTGTACTTTTACGATATAAGAATATCCATTACTTCATATCTTTCGGGAATATCGTAAGAAGTGACAGGGGAAATAAACCACGAAAGATGTTCAGCGGTTTACTTTGATAGTCTGTAAGTAACGAATGAATACATAAAAAGTTGGTCAAAAATTATCACACAGTATACTTGTATACTGCGCGATTATTTTTAGTGTAATATTTTTATAATTTTTATTATGATATAAATAGGCAGTAAAAGTGATTTTAGAAACAAGGTACGTGCATGCATATTAAACACAGCTTCTGTTGTTTAAATTACCTTTATTTGTAAACGTAGGATGCCGGTAAGGTACATTATGAAGAACACTTACTTTAGGTAGCTATGTTTAAATAATAAGTGAGCTATTTATATATTTTAAAATATTTATGTACATTGGTGTGTACGTATATTTGTATGTTTTTTTTATAGAACAGGGGGCAAACGAGCACGCGGCTCACCTGAAAGTGACTAAAGTGCCTTAAGTGACTTCCGCCGCCCATGATAAACCGCAACATCAGGGGAATTGCAGGTGCGTTGCCGGCCCTTTAGAAATGACTAAGCTCTTTTCTTGAAGGTCCCCAGGTCGTATCGGTCCGGAAAAATCGCCGGTGGTAAACTATTCCACAGAGAGGTTGTACGCGGAAGAAACTCCATTTGAAACGTACAGTGGTCGACCGCCAAGCATCCATATGGTGTGGATGGTATCGGGACGTTTGCCGCGTAGTGCGTTCACGAAATTTGGCGGCTGGGATTAATCCGAACAATTCCTCAGAGCACTCTCCATGGTATATGCGAAAGAAAATGCAAAGAGATGCAATTTATCTTCGCAGTGCCAGTGAATCGAGCCGATCGGAAAGCAATCGGTCGTCGACCATTTGAGCCGCTCTGCGCTGGATGCGGTCAAGTGGAAGGCACTGGTAAAGGGGAGCCCCAGCCCAAAGATGGGAACAGTATTCCATGTGCAGCCGAACCTGCGCCTTGTAAAGTTGCAGGCGGTGTGCCGGCACGAAATACTGTCCCGCTCTGCTGAGCACTCCAAGCTTTTTTAGAGGCCAATTTGGCCTTCTCCTCCAAGTGACCACGAAACTGCACGTCACTCGATATTTCGACGCCGAGGATTCTGATACTGGCTGAGGCAACAAGGGGAGTGCCTTGAAACTGAGGAGATACGACAAAGGGGTTCTTTTTAGCGGTTAACGCGCAAATTTGTGTCTTCTGGGGGTTAAACTGGTCTAGATTTAGTCGCCCCCAATCCGAGACTCTGTTCAGCAAAGATTGAACTTCAGACACAAGTTTGTCCTGGCACTCGGAGACGTTTTCCCGAGAAATATCGGCTCGGCCGGTGTAAAGAGCATCACCAGTGCTGTCATCTGCATAGCAATGAATGTTGCGGGTTTACAACATATCATTGATATGCAGAAGAAACAGCGTTGGCGATAGCACGCAGCCTTGTGGAATACCAGCATTAATGGGCTTGCAATCGGAGCTTGCACCGTCTACAACGACCTCGAGCTCCAATGCTTGATGCTGCAAGAAAACTGGTGATCCAATCGCACAATTTCCCGGGAAGCCCATAGGAAGGGAGGGCTTCGGACGTGTCTGAGCGGTCGCCTTTTTTAGATCGTCCGGCGAGAAGCAAACCCGGCCCCAAGGGTGGGATGCAAAGAAAGACCGCATCCCATCCCAATCGGCTGACCTATAGTGCCAAACACGGCGGCAGCCTGCAGAATGCAACTGCGATTTCAGCGTGAGTGGCACCACATGATAACAATCACGAGACAATGGTCCGAGGAGCCTAAAGGTGCGTCGACGGAAATCTGATATCCGTCCGGGTGAGAGGTCAGCAGAAGTTCCAACAGGGAAGGTGCATGATCCTCCACATCAGGAATCCGCGTAGGCGAAGTAACCAGTTGTGTCAGACCATATGCTAAGGCAAAATCATGAACAGATCTCCCCGCATGATCGGTTAAACGTGAACCAAGCCATTCTGCGTGATGGGCGTTAAAGTCGCCGAGGATCACGATCTCTGCGGAGGGAATCTGCTGTAGCAACGAATCTGTAGCTATTTGGACGTGGTCAAAGAGTCGGTCTGTTTCGGCATTACCGCCATGGGACCTATAGAGGCACCCTTAGACGCGAGGATGGTCGTCGCTGTCTACGCGTAGTAAAAGATGGACAGGTCCGAACCTTCAAGTCTGCCGAGGCGTCGAGAACAGATGTCCTCTCTGCCGTAAACGCAAACTCCAGCCCGAGACACAAAGGAGTGTTCCAGTTTGTACCCCGGGTAGGAGATATAAAAGACATCAGCCAGAGAGGACACCTGCGTCTCGGTCAGAAAGAGCGGAGCCGGCCTCGCCGTCTCGAGATGGTAGTGGACGGCGTTTAGGTTGGAGTGAAGTCCCCTGAAATTACAGAAATTCACGGACAGCGTGACAGGGGTCTCCTTGGCCTTGTTGCTCCGTTTGCCCCTAGTAGTTGTAGTCTTGAGCGAAATATTGTCCCCCCCCCCCGCCCGAATATGCGGAGCAGCCTGAGCACCCACGCTCAGAAGTGGAGAAACGTGGTCGTGGATGCACAGCGAGGGATTCTCCAGGGGTGCTGGTACCCTCATGGGGTAGTCTATCATCATTTAATTCCGCTACCATGTTGATGGGGGGGGGGGGATTTGGGCCTCCGGCCACCTGCACTCACCAGACGAAACGCGGAAGCAGAGCTTCCACTTCACGCCGATATTCTGTGAGGTCGTGGTACCACCCCGGTTTGAGCCGGCCCATACATGCAACAGCAAATCTGCTAAAATAAAATGTATATATGTAATGATATATAGAATATATAAATAAATAAATTATAAAATTAACTCGAGGAGTAAATCACATATCAATTTGTCAGTAAGACCTTATATCTTAGTGTTAGTAAACATAAAACTATTATTTTTATTACTGTTATTTTATTAAGCTGTCTTAAATTGTTTAATTTCCATCGTTTTCATTTATTATAATTGTACCTAGCTTACTTTTATATTTAATATGTGGATAAATGTTATTGGCATACTTGAGATAAATTTGAAATTGTATTTGGTGATGTACGCTGTTGTTATCATTATTAAAATAAAATAAATAAATAAATAAAATAAAATAGGTCTTTAGACATCTTAATAAGAGAGTAAAAGAAGTAGTTGAAAGAAAAAAGCAAGAAAGAACGGATAAGAATGATAGAAGAATATCGGATAACTTCCAGGCAAATATTAAAATGTTCTGGAAACTGGTAAGAACTGCCAGGGGACATTCAAAACAGCCTGTGATGAATGCTATAAGAGACGAGAATGGCTACATTCTGAATGATGAAGTTTTGAGTTTAAAGAGATGGAAGGAATATTTTGAAAGCGTGTTTATGAGTGAGGAGACAACATGTGTACTAAGTGAAGTAGAAACTCCGAAAGAAGAGGAAAGAGGTAGCGAGATAAGTATAGATGAAATAATGAAAGCAATGAAAACCATGAAAGCGGGTAAGGCGCCCGGATATGATAGAGTTTCACTCGAAATGCTAAGGGCTGGAGAGGAGGTGGTGGCAGGCCTGCTGCACACCTTGTTTAATTTATGCTGGGAACTGAAGCGGGTACCGGTAGACTGGTGCAAAGCCGTGATAGTCCCAGTATATAAAGGAAAAGGGTCGCAGCAGGACTGTAAAAACTACCGTGGCATCAGCCTTCTTAGCATTGTGGAAAACTGTACGCTAAGGTACTGATTGAAAGGGTCATGAAAGAAACTGATGGAAAAATTTGGGATGTGCAAGCGGGATTTAGAAAGGGAATGGGATTTACAGATCAAGTCTTTTCCATGCGTATGATCGCGGACAAGTTTCTGGCCAAAAACCAAAAGGTTTTTTGTGCGTTCATGGACTTAGAAAAGGCCTATGACAGAGTGGATAGGGATTTGCTATGGCAAACACTGAACTCATTTGTTTTGAGCGCTGGATTGATACAGGCATTGGAGTCTCTTTATAGGGACTCTAGTGCTTGTGTTAGGATTAACGGGGTCTACTTGGACTGGTTCGACATCCATAAAGGTGTCAGACAGGGCTGTGTGGCTTCCCCGTGGCTGTTCAACCTATTTATGGACAGTTGTTTGCAAAATTTGAAAGTTGAAGAATGCGGATTAAGAATGGGTGAGTTAACCGTCAAATGCCTTTTGTACGCCGATGATCAAGTCATTCTTGCGTCGTCGGCGGCCGAGTTGATGAAATGATGGTTACATTAATGAACGGATCATTAAAAGAAAGGGGTATGAAAATGAACGCAAGTAAGACGAAGGTTATGGTTTTTGAAAGAGAAGAAAGTAAAACGATTTGTGAAATAAGAATAGAAGGGGAGTTGATCGAGCACGTAGATGAGTTTGTATATTTGGGCTGCGCATTTAGCAGGAATGGGAGATATGATAAGGATATAGAACGACGAGTGAATGAAATGAAATAGAGTAAATGGGGCCTTGCACTCTATTGTGAAGAGTCAAAATGTGTCGAAAAAGGCACGTATGGCAATTCACAATGCTGTGTTGGTCCCTACTTTAACGTATGTTAGTGAATGTTGGGTGTGGCAGAAGAAGCACGAGAGTAGAATAAACGCAGTAGAAATGCGGTCGTTAAGGAGTATTTTAGGGCTGAATCTGAATGACAGGGTAAGAAATTGTGAAATAAGAGAAGAGTGTGGTTTGCAAGATGATGTTGTGACCAGGATTAAGAAAGGAATGCTTCGGTGGTTTGGTCATGTGGAAAGAATGAATGAGGAAAGCGTGATAAATAAAATTTATGTTGCAGAAGTGAATGGCAGAGTCGGAAAGGGACGTCCTAGGCGAAAATGTATCGACCAAATTGGCGATTTATTGGAAACGGGCCAAATTAGGAGTACCCTTAACCGACGAGCATGTATGCGTAGGTGTATGGATGTGAAGGAGGCGAGAGAGGTGTGTCAGGATCGTGTCAAATGGAAATCTGTAGTCTCTGCCTACCCCTCTGGGTGACAGGCGTGAGTGTTTATGGATTTATGGAAATAAAATAGTAATATGAGACAAAATATAGATGCGTTATCAACCTTGAGATCGTAATCGTAGCGTTAACGTACGTAGAAAGGGAGTACCCTTTCAATAATAAGTGATAAGTATGTCATACACAGTGTAATAGTGGCGATATTTTACGCTGATATTCTGGGTGTGAGTAGGCCCTCCCCGGTTGATCCATCCCATTTGCCATGAGCCAATGATCATCCTGTAATTAACACCATGGCTCTACTACTTGGATACCGCACCTTAATCCAATTAATCGTTTTTATGTTAACCCATTCGCTGTCCCGTGTACTATCTATAGGTCATTGTTATTGTTTTAATATTGTGTCTGAAAATCGAACTGTATACTTGCGGACAAGCGAATTTGTTTTGTACTATTACACTTTAGTTATAGTAAAAATATTTTACAGGTATGTGGCGCGTTTTGAAGAAGATTGCACATGAATGTATCGAATTGGGCCACGCTACTACATTACACTTTGGCTCCCGTTGTTATTATGGTACATACTGAGTACTGAACGTACCTTACTTCTGCAATCTTTAAAAGATATTTAATAGTTACAAAATTCAGTAGGTTATTATAATAATATTATTATGCATTACAGTTATAACAGACCCAGATGATTGTTTGACGGTGGCTAACTCGTGTCTACAAAAGGACACTATTTACGAATTCTCGAAACCTCTTTTCGGTGAAGGATTAATAACAGCTCCCGGTGGGTACATAAATTATTTACTTTTTATTAAACACCTTACCATTTTAGATATCTTATATGTGTGGCTACTTATTAAAATCTATCACTTAAGAGGATTGTGAAGTGTTTATACGAGGTGCGAGTAGGTATTTTTAAGTGTTATCTGTTTCATACCGCTCGCTACGTATTGCTTTATCGTGCGATAGCGATAATTGCAAGTCTTGGAGATAATTGCTTGAATTTCCTTTTTGAAATATTTTTTCAGGCGATAACGTTTTCATCCCTCGAAACCTTTACGAAGTTATACAATTTGGGACTCATTACATTCAGTATACCTTAATCTGGTCTTTGTTTTTCAGTAATTTTAATTAAAAAAGTAAAAACGCTGGAGGAAGTTTGAAGTCAAAACTATAGATATATAGTGTAGCTAATAACTTACTTAGTACGCAATATTTCTTTAAAATAAAAACGTATTGACCTAGTTATTGACGCAACATTTCCAAAAATCATGAAAATTAAACTATGTTTACGGGGGTGGGGGGGGGAATATTATTTACGTGCTGTTTTTGAGAGTTATTACGAATCGTCTCAGACCCTGGAGTCGACTTCCGGGCTCCCGATCAAGACTGATTTCGTTGAAATGTGCGTAGTATTGCAGTCCCTTCAGCGGTGTCAAATTAACTGTAGTTATGTCGAAGTGCTGAAGTGTTTGTACAGTAGAGCTATGATTGCTATCCGAGTACAGAATCTGCAGACAGTTGTAAGACAGGGTGACGATATATCCTCATTATCTTTTCATCGCTGCATTAGCAGAAGTTTTCAAGCTAGCGAACTGGAAAGAATTCTGTATTAACAACAATGGCGAGTACACCACTCACCTTCGGTTTGCCCACGATATAATCCATATGGCAGAATTGAGGATCTCAGCACTATGCTCAATTACCTCAATAGTGCCTACCAATTTACAGATCTTTAAATTAACATGGAAAGAAAAGCATGTGCAATGTCCATGTCTCACCTATGCTGGTAGTTGTTGAGAGCACTAATATCGAAGTTGTTGACGAGTTTGTTTACCTAGGACTAATAGTCCGACCTGCAGCACCTGGCTTTGGTGCTTTCATGATGATGCTGCAGGAACAGGCCCGTTGGTTGAAAGAGCAGCAGGAGGAACAGGCCCGCCGACAGGAGGAACAGGTCCGTCGGTTGGAAGAGCAGCTGCAGCGCGGACAGGAGGAACAGGCCCGTCGGTTGCAAGATCATCAGGCGGAACAGGCTCGTCGGTCGGAAGAGCAGATGCTCCTCATGAAGGACCTTCACGCTACCTTTGGGAAAGAGATAAGGGAGGTGAAGGATAGGGTTGCTCAACATGACATTCGCCTGTTGGAAGCTGAAATCTGAATCGAGGAACATAAAACTCGAATCAATCATGTGAACAATTGGGTTAACAACGTGATGGCTAACGTGAAGAAAACGCTGAACGACCTCTAGCTTGGGGATGGAACTACAGCTCCCGTAGTTGCTACAATACCTTCGCTACGTGGATTCAAAGTGCCGCCGTTCGACGGGACTTCATCCTGGTCGGCCTACAAAATCCAGTTCAAGGCCATCGTGGAGGCGAATGGCTGGAATAAAAGCCGGGTCATGACTGCACTCACCCTAGGCCTGCGCGAACAAGCCTTAATTGTGTTGGAAGGTCTCGGTAAGAAAGTGACCTACGAGCAGCTCCTAGAGGCATTGGAGGCGGGATATGGTGACGCACACCTGGAACACATCTTTCCCGCACAGCATGAAGATCGCGTGTAACGCAGCAACGAAAACCTGCAGCAGTGGGCCCTTGAGGTGGTGAAGATGGTTCGAAAGGCACCAGTCTGTACCTGCGCTCATTGAAGGAATCTGGTGCAGACATTCATCGACGACATTCGCGACCTTGAAGTCAGAGCTGCAGTGAGGCTCGGGTACCACGAGACGCTTAAGTACGCCTTGGCCCATGCACTGGAGATGGAAGCCGTGTGGCAGGATCTTCGCTCCCATCACGTCAGGGAGGTTGCGGCAGCTACAGTTCGCGACCGCAATGATGGATACAGTCCTAGGTGCTATGGTTGTGGGGAAAGCGGGCATCTTCGATCCAGCTGCCCTAAGCGAACTGTAGAAAGAGAAGTTAATCGATCTCGAGAGGGTAGTGCAGCTAACGGCACCGCCTGGCGGCGGCAAGATCATCGTTCCCCTCACATTAGGGAGGTTGCAGCAGTTACGGTACGCAACCACAATAAAAATTACAGCCCAAGGTGCTACGGCTGTGGGGAAAGGGGCTATCTTCGATCCAGCTGCCCTAAGCGATCTGTAAAAAGGGAAGGTGATCGATCTAATGAGGGTTGTGCGGCTAACAGCACCACCCAGCAGCAGGAATATGACCTTGTGATTGAACACCGATGGAACTCTCATGGCAACGCAGACGCATTGTCAAGGAGACCTTGTCCTGAAGATTGCAAGCGTTGTACTAGGCAAGAGAGTAAGGACGTGGTATCCGTGAAGATGCTTAGGACAGACCACCTCAACAACGAGTAGAAGGACAGCTTACAACATGCACAGCAGGAAGATCCAGACATCAAGCGGATTCTGGAATGGATGAAGGCCAGCGCTCCCAAGCCCAAGTAGAGTGACGTCTCAGCAATGAGTTCGACCACTAAAAGCTATTGGGCCCAGTACGACAGCTTGCTGATTCAGGATGGAGTCCTGTGCCGTAAATGGGAAAATAGTCGAGGAGACAGATGTCTTGATTGATCTTTTGTAAATGGTTGTCCTAGAGCTAAAGTGCCGAATGTTCTACAGCTGTACCATAATGGTTGTTTAGGAGTCCATATGGAAGTTAAACGAACTCTACTGAAGATCCGAGAACGGTTTTACTGGGTCAAACTGTGTCGAGGAGTGGTGTCGCGAATGTATAAGTTGTGCAGCTGCGAAGGGACCTCAGGCTCGTAGTAGAGGAACATTGAAATTGTACAATGTTGGTGCACCATGAGAGAGAATAGCCTTTGACGTGGCCGTTTCCGGAGAGTAAAAACGGTAACAAGTATTTCATGGTTGTGATATATTACTTCACTAAGTGGCTGGAAGCCTTCGCTATTCCAAATCAAGAAGCTTCAAGAGTCGCAAATAAACGAGTTCATGAAGTCTCCTGTCGTTTTGGAGTACCTTTAGAGATTCACAGCGATCAAGGAAGGAATTTTGAGTCTCAAATATTTCAGGAAACTTGCCGAGTTATGGGTACTCATAAAACAAGAACGACTTCTTATCACCCGCAATCTGATGGAATGGTAGAACGGTACGCCTGTTCACGAAAGTAAATCAGTGACACCAGCTTTCGCAAACTTTGGAAGAGAATTACGGCTGCCTGCAGACCTGATCACCGGGATACCATATGATGCCCCACGCAGTATAACCGATTATGCAGATGACTTGCGGAACAAAATGAATGACATTTATGAGCACGTCAGACAATCGCGACAGCAATTGTCCGAAAAGATGAAAACTCGGTATGACCGCAAAATGAACAACAAAGGCTTCGACGAAGGTTCCTATATAGTAGAAGGGGATTTCTTGATACTATGAGCATATTAACCTCTCAAGCGGCAAGTTTCCAAATTTACCGCTTCGATATTCCGTCAAAAATCAAGAGGATAAATGTGACCGTACCCACCCATAGTACTTTAACCCATAACTACTTATGTTTAGAGACTACTTTTCTATGAAGAAGTTTGGCAATGTAGGCTCAATGTGAAATTTACTATCCTCTAATGCCATAAAACGTAGTTAGTCTTCGTTTTTTATTTATAATCTACGTTCATTTCGTACGCCTATTTCGTGTGGCGTGTTATTGTGCTGATTTTTGGATTTTTCTGTTTTATTAGTGTTTGAGTATAATGTTATCTTTTTACGTAAATAAATTTGAGTAATATATATATATATATATATATATATATATATATATATATATATATAGAAATAATTGTGATTTTCACGCTGCCGACATCCCAAAATCAAAATGTATTTCAAGATTGTATTTCAAAACTTTTTAGGTGTTATTACTTCATATCTATATATTTATCATCATCATGTCTCATCAGGTCGTCACTCCATCTAGTTAATTTTAATTAATATCTAAAACTATGCCAGATTACAGTTATGTAGCACCTAGGGTATCTGAATAAAACTGCGAACAGACGGACGGTCCGATATGGCGAAACTATAAGGGTACGTTGTCTTTTAACTAAGGAACTTTAAAAACTCGTGAATAACGTACACACATTGAGCAGCACACTACAGCAGCGGTGGTAAATTAAAGTAAAATTAAACGATGAAACTACTACGATTCTGAAATCATACATAAGTTTCATAAATATGAATATGTAAAAAAGTTTTCAAACGATTTCAGGGATGGATGAACTATCTACATACATAGTCATACATAGCAAGTCCTGCTCGCTCTTGGTCTTTTTTTTAAATTTGTGATAAAAAATTTTTATCTTTAAAATTTCAGTGCACATCTGGAAAGAGCACCGCAAGCTTCTAAACCCTACATTCAACCTAAAGTTTTTAAATGGATTTCTTTACGTTTTCAATAAACATGGAAAAGAGTTAGTTCGAGAGATAGAAATAGAATCTAAATATGGGCCGTTCAATCCAGAGCCTTATTTAAAACAAAACGAAATGAAAAACATATATAGTAAGTTTAAATAAAATATCCCAATAATATCAGTAATTTGATTACTATTCGTAAATATAACATTTACAATTACAGTTACAGCTTTAGGTTTGGATTTTAGTAAATACAAAGTGTTTCAAGAAAAATACGAAAACACGTTAGAATCCATATTAAAAATTTATATCGAAAGGTTGCAAAAATTCTGGTTACACTATGAATTTATTTGGAACAGAAGCAACCTAAAAAAGAAACACGATAAATATGTAAAAACATTGCACGATATGATGCACTGGGTTAGTATTAATTTCTTATATTTTCTGGCTTTATAATATACATATTTCTTCTAGTTGCTTCCTATCAGTTTTTCATCTTGAATGCTAACACGGAATCACATCGATGTCTTTTACGCCATTATGCGTAAAATGACAGCTATTCTGCTGATCAGGGTACAAGATAGCCCCAACACTAACACTATTAAAAATTATTGCGAAAGACTACGAATCTCCTACCTGTTAGCTTTGTTCGTAAGGTATTTTGCTAGTGAGCTGTTCACTGTTAGTATTATATATTTATTAACTAATAGCTGTGGTCGCGCGTTCATTCTCAAAACATATTTGTTTGTTTAGAAATTTTATTACTTTGGGCGTAATTAATTATGTTTTAATGACCCTTATGTATATGACGGCGCCTGCGCTGTGTAGCTAGTCACGAGTTATTGTAGACAACATTTGCACCGCACACCTGCACGTTGCACGTGCAGCAGCGCCTATTTAGCTAGTCACAATTGTTGTAAACAACACTTGCACCGATCACGCCACCCGCGTCACTCGATTTCCCCCACTACCCCGCTGCTTGGCTTGGCTTGTTTTGCAACAGGTAAAAAGCGACCGCGCTGCGGTGGAGCGGCAGTGTTAGCCCTGGTGTGGCATGGTGCACTTGTTGTATCCTGCTACTAGTTCATCCTCGACTCTTCGGATAATTAATTCGTGGAAACAAATTATTCTCAGCTATTAAATTAGTCTCAGAACAATTTATACTTGATTATCTCTGATCTGTGTATTTCATGATTGTATGAAGTACTATATTGTAAATTAATTCTATTTAAAAGAAATGTCCCGCTGGGTTAATAATATACCGTAATAACCCTACACATTATTAGTAGTAACTACCTTTCTACATATACTCTAAGGTTCATACTCGGGTAGATATTTGCCACCCCTCTTTCCAAGTGATGAATAATGATCGGCGTAGGTAGTGCTATTTCTGAGATAGGGGTATGCGCGATACATATGAGCGAACGAACTACAGAAAAGGTGTTTTTTTACGGTTTGTAACATAAGAATTTGTTTCACATTGATGATAAAGTGTAAAGTCGTTGTAGTTGTCCTCACGACGACATATCAACCTACACATTTCTAGTATAATCATATCCCGCTTAGTGACATTTAATATGGTAAATAACACCACGCCGGACTAGCTCATACCGGAAATGAATAGTTTGATATTTCGTTTTGCGTACTCATGATATTTTAAACAGTTTAATTTAATTTATACATCGACAATTAGAAAAAAATTTACCCAAGAACCCTGGGCATGTTCATATTAACATTATCATTCAAGTTCATTGACTCATGGCACTACCTACGCCGATCACTACTGATGAGCCCGCTAGTCGTGAAAACGAGACGAAGCAAATACCGGCCGGAATCGACCGCAATTATCGTTAGCAGTTTTGCTGCTATTGAATAAAATTGAGTCCCATATCGATATCTAAAACGGTTTTTTCATATCGATATGAAAACTTCAAATCGGTTATGTAACTATGATCATGAAAATCTGACACGCCCATGTCTAAATGGGCAGTCAGTCAGAGAACCAGAGACCCTTTTTAAAGGAAACGAGGCATTTCATCTTAGTCCTCACGGGTGACAACGCATCTGCCTTTTGATTCGTAATCGAGGATAGATGTAGATATGTCTGTGGGCCACAGTAACCACTTACCATCAGCTGAACTGTGTGCTCGTTTGTCACCCTATCCTATAAAAAATGTCGATTTCTTATAATTTAATCGTGCAAGATTTCGAATCATCATCATCATTACAGCTCTTCACAAGTCCACTACTGAACATCCTCCTCCACAGACTGCCGCAAAGCATGGTCCTGAGCCACTTTGCTCGTCATGAGTTTTTCATTTATGTTCTAAGTTATAATTAGTACCTATTATTAAGTCAGTGTTAATTATATTTATTGCTATTATTTTTGTCTTTCTCAAAAAATAATTAAATTACCAAATAAATTATAAGGTGTTTTTTAAATACATCAAATGCCTGTTAGAAAAGCAAGTACATGTTTTGCTAAACTTTAAAATCAATAGCCAATTTTAAAACATAGACTAATCGATTATAACTCCTTTAACTTTAAAATAAGTTAAGTTCTTATTAATGGTATTTATTCCAGTTTACGATGCATGTAAAGAATAATTAAAGCTAATCGTATATCGGATATCTATTTACAGCCTCATTAATATCCACTATGCTTTTATAATTATTTTATAAAAACGTTACCCCATACACTTGGATTTTTTCTGTATCGCGGAGGCAGTTTACAAACATAAATTGCACAAGGACACACATCCAGACCCGAAACAATTATTTGTAGGATATACAAATACTTGTTCCGTGCGGGATTCAAACCCGCGGCCCCCGGCGCAGCTACTCATTGCTAAGCCACTGCGCCACGGAGCCGTCGTCTAAAATAAAATAAATTCGTCCACACATTGGCCCGAACCGAACTAAACTGAACGACGTTCCAACGTGTGGACGCCGTCACCAACTCTCGGCAAATATATTCGCCACTACATTCGCCACTGTGTTGGCCAACGTGTAGAGGCGACATAACGATCATAGCAGCTCAGGTGGGATGACGGTCGGGCGTGATATCTGAGTTCCGTGGTTCGTGTCCTGTCTCCGGCACGACTTCTTTTCTTTTTTTTCAAGTTCCCTTCTTTTGTGAGAAAATCTATTATTTCAAGCACTTTTTTTTAGTATTTTTTTAAAAATACGAAAATTTTAATAAAACTAATTGCACTCATGATTTTTTATTCAAATAACCAGTTCATTTTTTTCTATTCTGTCAATAAGATCGAAAAATATTATTTATGTTTCATCAGTATGTAATTTATAAATGTAATTTCATAAAAAAAACCGAACAAAGCTCGGTCATCCGGGTACTGATATATAAAGATCAGCAGCAGTTTTGAAGACATATCTAAATGTCACAGAAAAGACAAAAACAACCCGTCTTTTTACAATGCATTGCCACAACACTATCTACCAAAGGCACTGCTTAACCATTGTACTTTTTATAACTATAACTAACTACCAGATGGTGCTTAAAACATACCTAAGATAGCATGACAACTGACAGGCTGTATAACCATGTCTTATATTATGTGCACTAACATCAAGGATTTATGAACAAAAGTTCAAGGATTTGGGAAATAAATTGTCAATCCACCTAGTGAAAGTAAGCGCAAATAAAACATAGCAATCTATACCTAGTAAGCATAGTGGTTAGGAACATAATTTTGTTATAGTCGATAAGGCAAAATAAAATTAATTGCTGTATTATTTTTTGCAGATTATTCAAGAAAAGAGACAAATAAATAACTGTTATATTTCGAAGGGTAAATATATTGTAAATTTCAATTTCAATTATTATTTCATGTAAATTATTACTTTAAAACATAATCTTTTTTTTTCGATTAGATTGGAGTTTTACACCATTTGTGGATATATTTTTTGATTTTAAAAGAAAAACAAGTAATATATTCTCGGATACTGCCATTAGAGATCATATGAATACATTGATGGCTGCCGGTCATGACACTATTTCGGTGGCCTTGAGTTATATTTTCTTGATGATTGGTTCGTATCAAAATGTACAAGACCGGATCTACAGAGAGTAAGTAAGATTAGGTTTTATAAGTCTTTATTAGCTACTGGTCATCATCATCATTACAGCCCTTTACAAGTCCACTGCTAAACATGGGCCTCCCCCAAGGAATGCCATAAAGCACGGTCCCGACCCACCTGCATCCATCGACTTCCTGCATATCTTACCAGGTCGTCACTCCATCTAATGGGGGGTCGCCCAACACTACGCCTACCGGTATGAGGCTGCCACTCAAGAACCTTTATTCTCCATCAGTAGTCGGTTCTTCGAACTGTATGGCCAGCCCAATGCCACTTTAGCTTACTAATCGGTTGGGCTGTGTCGGTCACTCTGGTTCTACTGCGGATATCTTCATTACTAAGTTTATCACGTGGAGAAACCCCGAACCTAGCCCTCTCCATAGCTCGCTGAGCGACCTTGAGCGTCCTCATATGACCGGCAATGAAGGACTACGTCTCCTAGATCCATAAGTCATCACTCGCAACACACGATGGTTGCACAATGCAGTTTTCAGGTTTTGAGGTATACCTGACGAGAAGATGTGTCGTAATTTCCAGAACACTGCCCAGCCAGGTTGAACCTGTCGATTGACTTCTCGGTCGATGTTGGACTTACCTAGTCGGACTATTTGTCCCAGGTAAACGTACACTCGTCAACAACTTCGGGCTTAGTGCTCCCAACAACTAACAGCATTTTCTGTGGGGCCACTTTTGGAAAAAAGATTTCTTCATAAATAGTTCCTCTTTCTCCATGAAGTCGGCCAGCTGCTGGCCCCTTGGGTTTCATTACCCTGTCCCAAATATCCCTACCCTCAGATTCGGATATGGTACCACTCTCAAAATGCAACATTGTGTAGTGTCTGTTGTGGCATTCGTTACATACTAAACTAGAGTTACAATTAGCAATGCCTTCAACAATTCAAACATAAGTTGTTGGCTTTTATTATTTTATAACGTTCGCTCGGTGAACGTTTACGGAAAGTCGCACAGTTATACAAATTACAATGTTGGTTATTTTTACATAAAAAACAGGCTTTGTGAGACAATGAAGGCGCGGTGTTTACATACGTCAGGGATCGCGCTAGCTTTGATGAAGAGACTGGTCGATGGTCGGCGCATTTTTTAGCTTCCTGTTTGGCATTGGATGAACATTATATTACATTGATTTGGTCTGGAACAAAGGATGCCAAAACTTCAAACGATTGAAATTCAGAGCCACGATACTCCATTTCAAACGAACGCATGGTGTTTACAAACGCGTAAAACACAAACAAAATAACCCAATAAATAACGACCAAATTTTAATATCACTAATAAACATTGCGATATCGATAAGTGGCAATCTAAGTAATTCACGTGAATGTACCTGAACTGTCGGCTTCACGTCGCTCTGGAGTGCAGGTTGCTAGGCGGCTGCAACCTGCAGTCCAGAACGACGCCACTTTACACGAAACAACAGGTCCTTGAATGCCATAAACGATTCATAATTTACTATATATTTGGGGTCAATTTGACTTTCGAGATTATTAATTTTGTCTATTTCACTTTCTTAATCCAACTTCAATGAGTCCACCGTTTCGATTTCACATAAAAATGTTTCTTACACTGATTCTACATTGATATTTTTATATGATCACTGATGAGTTGTATACGAGCAAACAACATATCCCTCTTAGCGTAAGGAGTTTAAAACTTCATTTCATTTGCACATACTGCCATCCCTAGTACAATAATTAATATTAAACTAACACAAACGAATCGCGTGGAGATGGAAGACGAAACTTTCATAATGTACGAAAGGTTAACTATCAATTCAGGCGATATTTACTAGCGATGTATCATTCTTCCACTAAACGACATTAAATCAAACACTTTGTCACGATTATTTTTCCTGAGCGGGGGCAGTCTGTAACTGCAGGATTAGGTAAACAGAAAACTACAGCGGGTCAAACTAAAATAAAATATCGTCTATTTATCTATAGCATATGGTGTGTAGCAACAAAGAAATTATTAATCCGGTAGTTAAAGAGTTTGTTAATTAGAGTGATTGTCCAAAGAATTGGTTTAGTAGTTCGACTCGATCAGGCCACAGGAAGCCAGTTCCAAATCCCGCTTGACTGAACCTGAAAATTGTGACGCTACTGACTAAATTTATATCCGGAATGAAGGGCCAGAAAAAGGTGGGGCCGTTAGCCCCTTCGAATCCGGCTCGGAGGAACCCGAAAATGGTGAGGCCAATTGCGAAAGAACCGGAAAATAATGTGGCCAATTGTCCTGGTTCTGATCCGGGTCGAAATACTGGTAAATGGTGACGCTAATGGTTCCTGGGTTCAAATCCCGGGTCGGGCCAAATCAATTATGCGAGAATTATGCAAAACAATTATGCGGCACGTGGCCGGGTTTTGGACAATGTACTTGCTAGGACCCAATTTACTATATCTAGCCGGCAAGGGTAGGAGCATGAGCTGTTGTAGGGAACAGGTGGCAACGAATGGGAGCAGCACGCTGGGAGGAAAGGAGATGCACTCACTTGGGCGTTGATCTTCTGGCGGCCTTTTAGTCGGGCCTGAGGTTGACGGCGCTACGTTGCAGCTGCGGTGGTGCGCGACGGTAAATTGCACTATGCAAAGCGGTCACTATTAGGTTGTTCTGTGGAGCAACTGCCACAGAGGGCATAGCGTTGGTCTTCAACTACTTGGCGCGGCGGCGGTACGTCGACGCCTCGACGGTCGGTGGCGTGTTTTCCACCTTTCACTTTTCCGCCAGCGTGTCTTATTTATCGCCTAAAATGACGCCACCATATATGGTCTCCTATTGCAGGCGTGCCCGTGCAGGAAAGGAGTCGGAAATGATGGGGAAGGATGCCAGCTAATATAGTCTACAAAATATGCGTTTCGGCACGACTAATATTTTTATAATAAGGATAGGAATAATATAAAAACAACTCACAATCGGATAATGTAATTTGTTAATCTCACGTCATGACATAGAAAGGTTTAAAGTTCTTTGTAGTTGCAAAAAAGAAGCTTATTCCCACTGCCCTGCCCCTTTGATAGATAACGTGATGATATACATTTAATGTCATTACATTATATATTATGTAGTGGCGGTTAAAAATTTCAACTACCCTATATCTTCCCATGGGTGTCGTAAAAGGCGTCGGACGGAAACATTTAGAAAATGGACAGCAGCATCTTCCTAATAACAGCAATTATACAACAAGAAAAACTGCGGTTGATAACCCGTTCTCCAAGCGATTCAACTATGACAATATGTCCATAAATCCATGGTAAGAGTTACGAAGAGACGGCCACTAGTCTCCAGAGGCCCCACTATTCCTAGCTATGGTGGTGACTATGGTAGTTAGCGGCGGGGCAGGGTGTGCTAATAATTTCCGGTTGAGGTTCGGTTGCCACCTAAGATGACTTTACCTGGCAACATACAATGCACGCACAAAATGAAGGAAACAATACAGAAGATGAAGGTAGAGCTGGAAGAAGGGGAAGAAAAGTTTAGCTGGATTATAGTAGGATTATCCGAGGTGCGAAGAGAGGGGAGATCACGGTATTCCTCGAGTTAGGCAGCATGTTCTACACTGTGAGGTGTCGGATTTATCGTTCACAAGTCTCTCGTTAACAACCTTATGAAAATTGGAAGTATGTCAACGAGGGTTGCGTACCTTATAACTCAGGTCAAAAGATATTAACTGAAGGTCATACAGGTTTACGCACTAACCTCGCCACATCTCGATGAGGAGACGAATTAAATGTATGAGGATAAAATATTGTAGCAGCCAGGCTAATCAACTCTAAATAATATATACCCCGCTGCTACCATAACACAGAAGGCGGAGAAAACATTTATTTTCTAATTATCCCCGGCTACTGAGATATTGCGGGCTGCATATCGATGCGAGATAATTTATGAAAATTGGATTACTCGTTTCGGATCACCTAAAACCATCACAACTGATCAAGGAAGAAACTTCGAAAGCAACCTATTCCTCAAACTTCTTCAAACTATGGGAATACAGAAGACACGTACAACAGCATACCATCCTCAGTCAAACGGAATAATCGAACGATGGCATCGTACATTGAAAACCGCACTCAAAACTCGTTTATCTCAACATACAAAATGTATTAATGAGCTACCTACAGTGCTACTTGGCCTACGAGCAACACCGCGTGCAGACACTAGTCTTAGCGCCGCTCAGCTAACCTACGGCTGCAGCATAAGACTACCGTGTGACTTCTTCACTTCAACATCGTCTAAGAATCAAGAAATGGATTACGATTTTGTAACTCAACTTCGAGAATCAATCAACAAAGCCTTATCGTCGAAATGCACATCATCACACGGAAATAATAAATCAGTATTCATTCATCAAGATTTGAAAACATGCGAGCAAGTTTTTGTAAAAAAAGACGCAGTGAAAAAACAATTTCGACATACCTACGATGGACCGTATAAAGTATTAGAGCGAAATAGCAAGACTTTTAAATTACAAATACCCGGAAGGAAATCTAAAATTACCGACTGCGCCTATATTATTAACGAGGATATTTCAGAGGATTCATCATCATCATCACAACCACCAGCGAGGAAGCTTGAAAATCTATCATCTACATCAACCGAGTTGAAACCTATTTTAAAAATTACGAGATATAGGCGAGTCTTCAAGCCTCCGGTACGCTTTCGCTAGGGGGAGAGTGATGTAGCAGCCAGGCTAATCAACCCTAAATAATATATACCCCGCTGCTACCATAACACAGAAGGCGAAGAAAACGTTTATTTTCTAATTATCCCCGGCTACTGAGATACTGCGGGCTGCATATCGATGCGAGATAATTTGACGTATATATTTAACGTTCTAATAAAGAAACAAGAAACAGCCGCAAATATCATTCAGCGCCACATCGTCTTCACACGCCGCTATCGTTATGTATCCGTCGACTATTTTTGAAGCCGTTTCTTCAACGCCGCAGCTTCGCTTCTTCTTGCTGTTCAGGAGCTGTGCCCCACGCCGTCGCCGCTCGCCGATTACGCGTGCGCGCCGGCCTGCACAACTTTTATAGCCCAGTCCAGCGACGTAGCTACGAGAAAATATACACGAGTCTCACGCCGGCAAATGGAACGCACATAATAGTTGTATTATGATTAATCTTTATTGGTCATAATGTAAGAATTGTAATTGGCTAGGCAAATAAAAATTGTTGTTATTGGTAAACTAGCGACGTAGCCGGACATATAAATATAGGCAGGGTTGACGTAAAAATATATTCCATATTCCATACTCGATACACCATTCGTTTGCACATGAAATAGTAGTTTCATTTCTCCGCCACTAGACCACTCGGAGTCTGTTAATAGTCGACCTCATAACACCACTATTACAACATCTAGAGCCATGCATTCATCAAAATAGCTATACGGTGTTAATAGGAGACTTAAATTCAAAACCAGGCACAAGAGAGGACGGTGAGCTGTAGGTTGGGAAATTTGAGATAGGACAACGGAACCTTAGGGGCTGGCAGCCCGCCGACTTCATGGAGAAAGAAGACGAACACTCTTTCGACAAAAAATGAGATTGACTTCATTATGACGATTATACGGTAACCAATAAGTGACGTCCGAGTGATCACAAGCCCTTATTAAACGTTGTTGGTCTGGTAATGTTACGCTCCATTCCCCTCGTGCTCTAATCCAAAAACTCGAAACATTTCAGCTCGCACTGCAATTCAGTGAACGATATGAATAATAAGCTCTTGGAAACTGCCCATGGGTTCGGAGCTACGTTCTGCAAGACCCGCCGTAGAAGAACACAAAAACTCTCCCATCACACTCTTAATCTCATGGCTATTAGAAGGAAAATGAAGCTGCAGTCCTCAACAGATTTGACATACACGCAACTGAACAGACAGATCTCCAAATGCATGCGGCGGTACGCAACTTTAATACTGCTCATATTGAAGAAGTAATCGCGCGGAATCAAGGCTCCAAAGTCTTTGCCCGAGATTTGTCTGTCAGAAAGAGCCAACTGTCAAAGCTGAAGAACGAATGTGGCAGTATCGTTTCCGAGACATCTGAAATTTTGAGTGAGACTGGGAGGTTCTATGGGCACAGCTGCCCATATTGTTACGAGCTTAGGGTTCGTGACAATAAAAACTACCGATTGAATTACCAAAATTAACGCTTTAATTGCCGAACACCAATTAAAACGTAAATCACTCTTAACACTTAAGTTTACTTTATTTCATTCCGAAAGCTTCGCTTGTATCGCCAATTCTATATACTACCCCGATCACGGCCCTCAACGTCTTTAAATAGGTCTTTTCCACCGAAACATCCAGAATATTCCAGCAAATACCGGCCTCCTACTGACCAGGTGCAGAAAATTCGAGTGTGGAGCTTTCCAGAAAGCTTAGTTCTTCTATTCGTTACTAAATGGAGCTAATGGGACAGGGCTATAGGGCAGCTGTACACATCATCGTTGGAGCCACATGCAAGTGTGAGTCCAAGTTGCTCTTGGTCTTATTTGAAACAGAAACAAAAACTTTTTTATTCAATTTAAATTATAAACAAAACTTATTGAAACTCAATTTTTTCATTTACCACTGATTCGCAAAAAAACCTCTGTCCTGGGAAGAACCAGCAAGAAAACCAGCGGGACTATTTTTTTTTTCAAATAATAGCTACAATCATGTTTACAATTAACAACACAAGACAAATTAGAAAAAGCTTGGTAGCGATCACCCTTCCCAGGGGTTATTATCATCCATAAATTCCTTAATATAATAATAACCCTTTTTATACAAACTTAGTTTAATAAAATTTTTGAACTTTGCATACGACAAATTTTGTATATTTTCTGGGATTTTGTTGACACACTGAGCGAGATTAGAATTCAGCAACTTAAAAACGGAAAGCAGGGGCAGTGAGGATGGAATTACATTGGAACTTCTAAAAGCTTCTGTCCTCAATGGTGGGACACTGGGGTGGGATATGCTGTGGTTTGTTTTCAAAAATTTCGAAAAACTACAGACCGATTTCTCTTCTGAGCCGCGTCTACGTGCTGTTTTTGAGAGATATTATGAATCGTCTCGCACGCAGACTCGATGACTTCCAGCTCCCAAACAAGCTGATTTCCGAAAAGGCTTCAGTACCATAAACCACATACATACCCCGCGGCAAATTGTACAGAAGACCGAAGAGTACAATCTGAATATAAAATAAAGATTTATTCTGATGTATTTACATTTTAATCACTTTTGTGATATTTGCTAGTGCTCTTGGATTGTGAACAGTGGGATTTGTTTCAAATAAATGTGTGAAACGTTATACTTCTGACTTCAATTCTGCGATTGCATTTTTATATTGGTGCGGCAATTTCACAGCAATCTGTTGGAAAACTAACCATGTATCGGCTCCTGTGTATTGGAGGAAGAGCACTGAAGAATTATCGGGTCCAAATCATTGTTCGGTGGTTTATCCAAATTTAGCATATTCATATAAAAATTTTCATTTTTCTTATCCCCACTGTCACAATTCTTGCTAGTGACATTCTATCATATATAAATACATACAATCGAAGAGAAATTTGGGAATATAATCCCACACTTTTGCCGGCATCTTCTTAAAATATACATCAGCTGTTATAATCCGTCATGCAATGTGACTGCTTCTTCTGAATCAGTTACAAAAAGAATATTATGAAATCGTATCATCATTAATTGTCTTTTCACTGTGTGTTTTAAAAAAATTGCTTTTTAGGTTACTCGAAGTATTTGATAATATGGAAAGAGACGTCGAAAAGGAGGATTTGATTAAACTTATATACTTAGATGCGGTCATTAAAGAAACAATGAGGATATATCCTATAGTTCCCATGATAGGCCGCTACATCGATAAAGATATAAAACTCAGTAAGTATAGTCTAACTTATACATGTTTAACTGTAAATAAAAAAATAAATACATTGTCTTTATATATAAAAACATTTTTACTTTTCAGAACACTATACACTTTTAGCGGGTAATTCATGTGCATTAATGATATACGGAATACATCGAAATCCAATTTGGGGTTCAGATGCAGATCAATTCAAACCAGACAGGTGGTTGGATTCATCATCTCTGCCACAAAATTCTTACAGGTTTCTTCCGTTTAGTCTAGGAAAACGAATTTGTATAGGTACTAGAATTTTAATTTATTCAAATTATTTAAAAATAACTGTTTATTTCCTCTTTATGTTATATATATTTATTTTATGTACAATACAACAATATTAAAAGGGTAAACTAACAAAAATACTAACTAAGAAATGTTAGGGTGACATGCAATTTCTTTAGGGCCCTTCCTTGGAACGTGAAGCTGAAACGAGATATCAAAATATGAATTGTGATTTAGTATTTTTTATAGAAATTCCTATTTATTTCAAGTATTGTAATAAACAATGACTTGTATGGTTGGTTCTAAATTGAAAACTAACATGCTGGAAGTTGACTAGAAATTATCTTGTTCTTCTTGTTAGCCTATTATAGTCCTACTTTTACAATGATCAATAATTAGCGTTGCCTTAATTATCATCAGTCTATCATCTGATATATTATATGGTATGTATGAGTGATTCCATATAAGGGCGTCATAAGAGATTCGATTTCTGTATCCATATCATTTCGTATGTTGTAAGAGGCGACAAAGGGAAATGGAACAGAAAATGTGCAGCAGGATCTTAAGCTCAAATGGCATATTTGAGGCAGTATATGGAGAGGTCTGTGGGAGGTCTGTGTTCAGCAGTGGACCTTTACGATCAAATGCTGTAATTAATGAATGAATGAATATCTATATAAGAGTCACGTATATAAATTCCACGCTTAATATATTATCATCATCATTACATCCCTTCACAAGCCCACTACTGAACATAGGCCTCCCCCAAGTAATGCCACAACGCAGGGTCCTGAGCCACGTGCATCCATTGACTTTCTGCATATATTACCAGGTCGTCACTCCATCTAGTGGGGTTTCGTCCTACACTATGCCTACCGGTACGACGCTGCCCCTCGAGATCCTTTTTTTCTAAGGCTAGCGGCAAAACAAGCGGTTCACCGATTTCGCATCCGTAGGGAGCTAAAAATGGTAGAGAATGTCGTATAGCATTAAGCTCGCCTTTTGTACAAAATCTTTGGTGCAATAAAGAATAAATAAAAAGTAACCGAACGCCTGCGTCATTCTGTTTAAGTTTTCGACGGCAGCAGAATGGAGCTGAGGACGGTCAAATAAAATTGAAATGATCCGCTCGCGTAATTTCATCTCCACCGGCAGCCGAACGGCGCAGCAGACGGCCGAACGGCGTTGAACACAATCCAATGATCAACGATAAGTCTACTGCCGAACGTAAGAGAACAGCCGTCGCGGTGATTGTTCGGAAAAGTCGACTGCCGATTGCTTGTGAATAGGTGTCGCAACAGATGATCGGCGTTAAGCCGTGCACTTATAGTTGTAGGGATTCCCACAACTATAAGGAATAAGGATAGGCTCTTATTTTTAATAGAAGTATAAGCTCTAATTTCACTCTGACATTCTGTGCGAGCGTGATTAAATTTCGCATTGAAGTCCTTCGTCATGCGTTCGAAACGGGTTTTACTCTGCTACAAAACTATTTTAATATGAAAATAGGCCTTTGTCCAGCTGTAAGACTTATTTAGATTTAGATGATTTGGTATGTACGTAAAAATAATGACATGCTGATTTTGAAATCGTTTCAAGATTAATCATTTAAAAACCCTATTTTGTTATTTAGATATCTTAAAAAAGGATGACATTTATTTTATCAAAAATGCATGAAATAAATTAACTTTCATTTCAATTACAAATTAAGTCAAAAATATGACTGTGTGTAGAGTGAGGCCGATACCTAGTGATTTAAAAACGATATTTTCATAATGAAGAAGTTGACAAAAATAAATTCCCTGGTTTATAAAATATAACGATTATATATTTCTTGACATAACCTTGGTTCATTTCTAATTGGATTGATTTACAATAAACCTATGCGGTATTAATTGCTATCCTACAAGGAACTGTCTTCTTAGTTTGTATTTATATCAAATAGTTTGTATCAGTCAATAGAAGTTATTTATGATACGGAACAAAGATTCTTTTAGATTTATTTTAAATGAACCGTTTTCCTCTTAATGGGCTATTTAATACGATTCGCCATCAAAAATTATAAATGAATTCTAAAAAAACGATGTTTGTATTGTTTAACCTAAACAATAACATGGCATCTTTGTAAAGTGCTGAGGTAAAATCATCGAAATAATATGTACTATAGTACGTTTCTAGGGCTGGCGGAAAGAAGTACATTGACCTCAAGTATTATGTTAGTATCGAAACAAAACGACAGTTATTACTTCCATACATTTCTTTATAGATTACGTATCGTTATGCGCTAAGCGTGTCTCATGGTACGGGCTAGGGTGAAGGAAGCGGTCATTCAGAGATAATAAACCTGTTTCGAGGAGATTTGCGATGGTCTCACGCCGTGCGTATTTGAGAAAGCGGATGGAGCAAAATTCATTCCTCATTCTGCTTTGGGATGCGCTTGCGTGTAGTTAATTTGAGATTTAAAATTTTCGGTTATAGTAGTTTTATTTTTTATTAAGTTTGTTTTGTTTGTTGTATTATTACGTTTTGTATTATAGTTTTTGTCATTGTTTTGTGACGTTTTGTATATTATCACTAGTATGAAATCGGGTCCATCGACATAAAAATCTCATAAAGACTTTACGTCATCATGAAAGAAGCGGAAAGTGTCGCATATTTCGGAAACCGAAAAAATAATGATTGTAAACATCTATAAATATATAAAAGAAACGTGGTCTAGTGACATATATCAATCCAAAACGGATATGAAAAAGAAGACTGCCGATATTTTAGGTTATAATCAATGTGACGGACTCTTCTACGTCTTCATCATCATAAAATGATTCTGAAATAGATACAGATGAATAGTCTGTCAAGTGTCTCTGACAATCTATCATGAGAAGTTTTATGCATGCTTCAAGGTTGGCTGCTTAAGAATGCTTAGCATTAAAACTTCGTTTTTTACCTGACTGCCAAGAAGTGGTTATGTTTTTATACAACTATCTACCTACCTACTTATTAAAGTAGTTACCTACTATTAACGTAATAATGAAAATTGTGATTATGATTTATAAATAATAAATTTAAATTAATATTAATTTGCTTTTAAATTCATTGTGTGTACTAACAGGATAATCTTCTTTCTTTATAATATAATAATAGACATAGGACCTGTAAAGAACTTCGCACTCGGCACCCTTATCTTTCACTCTGATGATGTATGTAATGATAAAAGGATAAAAAATGAACCTAAACAAAAAAGATTGCCTACTCCGATGATATCGTCAAAGGTCAACGTACATTTTTCTGCCTGCCCTAGAAACGTAATATACGTACTTGAACAGACACCAAGACTACTTGTTTGTTTGCCACACGTTTTAGGGTCCACGAGCTCTCACACTGTGCCAGATGTTCAATATACCATTACAATAATATTTTTAATTAACACTTATACAAATATAATCAACACATTTTTAATACAGTTGCTCAAAAAGTGCGTATTGCATACGCCACTTTTTGAGCAACTGTTCATACACGTACTTTTTCTTTACCTTTTCCGAACTTTTTCCGAACGTTGTTATGATTCGTGCAAATATTTCTAAAAAAACCTACAAATTTGTTTCAATATCAAATTTAATGATTTGTTTCAATGAGTTAGGTTAGGTTTCATTTCATTTCATCTCATTAAATTTCATGTTTGTTTGGCTGTATGGGCATAGTTCCCTTTGCCTACCAAGAATGGGTGAAGAAAACAAAAAAAATCTCTGCTTATATTCTTTTACGGTTGACGCCATTTTTCAAAAATGTTTTTTGCGAGTTTAGTTGTTTGTTGCACGAAATGAGTTATTTCGACGATATTTTATTTGAATTAACAACACCGGAACTCAGTATAATTACACAAAATGCTTCGGAGAATAATCAGTCCGCCGGCGGCACCGCTCTCGGACGGTCGCCTCCTGGTGGTCCGCGCTCCCGTACAGTACGGTAGTGCTGTCGCGCTCTCACGCGCCTCCGCTGTCCTGCTCACGCGGAACAGCGTCGAGGCTGCCGGTGAGTCACTTTTTGCTACAGCTCTTGCCCCCCTGTCTTCGGGCAGGGAGGTCTGACTGACTTCCGCTTTCATTTCATTTTTCATTTTCACTTGTGATTTTTTTTTTTTTTTTTTTTTTTTTTAGTCTTCTATTTTCTTGTGTTTTCTTGCATTTTTACTGTTACTATTACGTGCATAGTGTGTTGTAGTGCGTCCCGCGTTCTAGTCCCTGTTCTATCGAGAGCAGGGACCCGTCCTCATCCTCATCTTTGCTTTCTCACCTTTAGCTTCTTATCCTAAAATGGCCAACTCCAGTTTTACTGAGTCCCTAGCCGCCCTCATTACCCAATATGGGTTAAGTGGCAATGAGACGGTCCTCGCCGCCATCGCCACCATCGCCGCCCAGGCTCCCACCCCTGCCCCTCAGGCACACCTCCCGCCGCCGGTAATCGCATCTTACCTCGAAACGAGGAACTCTTTTGCCCAACTCGAATCTGCCCCCCTTAGAAATGGAGTACGCATGCTCCGAATCCTCGGCGTCTACCTCCCGGAAGAGGCCCGCCACTACCCTAGGCTCCGGTTCATCGGAGTCCTCTGACTCTGACGGAACCGGTGAGTCAAACTTCACCACCGTCACCTCCAAGCGCAACGGAAAGCGCGCCGCGTTGAAACGCACCCCCCTACTTCAGCGGCCCCTGCCGCTCCTTCAACCTCCGCAGCCCCTGACGCTGCACCCGTCCCACTGATGTCACTAGACATCCCCACCCCATCCAAACCAGCCTCTCGTTGTGCTCCAGTGCTGGCGAAGAAGCAAGTCCCGCCCCCTGTCTTCCTAAGAGCCAAGGCAAAGTTCCCCCAACTATCTAAGAAGGCATCAAATACGATCATGCAGTCAACCTCGGGGAGGCAATCAAAATAATCCCTACCTCGATCGAGGACTTCCGCGCAATCACCCGGCTATTCACAGCCGAGCGCATCTCATACCACACTTACGCTCTCCCTGAAGAGCGTA